AAATTCTTGAGATATGAATCAATAGGATATGATCGATAGGGCACAAAGCCCTCTGTCAGCTAAGGTGGATTCAAATTTGTCCCCTTAGACAAACATCAACCCCGGTCTACAAGGTTCCCTTGGACGAAGCAACCCATGGCTGCTGACAAGGATCCTTCTGTCAGGTTGGGTCGACTACCTCCTCTGACTAAGTAGACCAGGGACCATGATGGCCCGGGACGACGGAACCATGGGATCTTGATCGGGCTCATCATCCATTCCCCCACCATCCGCTTTAAGTACAAGATGGTGCAAATTTCCATTTTTAAATATTAAATCTTTCAATCCAAAATCCCAATATCCAAACCCTTCAAATCCCAAACTTCCAATTCTCCAAATTCCAAACCTATTGCTGCTATTATATGCCAGATAACACGTATTTCTATACGTATCAGATCGATGACTAGCCTTAATCGAAAGTTCTCTCTCGTGATCGGGAGGGGTAATTAACTATAGGGGCTTGCGCCTATAGGAAACCAGAACTCAGATCATAAAGTCCTCGCAAAATGAGGGCGAAATCTCTGGGTAGTGTCTTATCTACAAACCCATCTGCCTTCCAAAATTTACCCCGGAACTTAGTTCGTTAAAACTCCCTCGCCGAATAAGGAAGAGCGATGCGGAGGCCGGGGTCGAATTTTCGGAGCCCACAGAATAAAACAACCCGAAATAATCATCGTGTCCAATATAATCATGATTTATCATATTTTTCCAATTAAATCACTTAACTACATAAAATTGATCCAAAAAGACCAGTCAAATAAAAATTGAAAAAGATTAAGATACAAAATTGATCCCAATTTAGTCCCTGAGGGACCATAAAGGATCAATTTTGTATATTTGAGCGGACTAAATTGGAGAAATGTGAGGCTTTGGGACTAACTTGGTAACTCACAAATAATCGAGGGACTATTTTAAACCTTTTCTCTTTCATATGTAAATTTTACAACCAAAAGGAGAAGGCTTCAACAAGATTCTGTAAGTGCTACTACTATGTCACATCCAGACATGCTCGTATTAAAAGTTTAAAACATAAATGTAAATAAATACAATACACAAGCAAAGGCAGTATAAATCATCCAAACAGCTCTTTAGATCAAATCATTAAAAATGCAGATAACAATTCCCTATCAAATGCTTATAAAACATCCAATAACAAAAGTAAGAAAATTGGCTAAAGTAGCAGACAATTTCTCATCACTATCACTGTTTACCCAAATCGCACTGCATAAAAGTTGAATTAGCAAATACAATAACAACTGGGGAAACTAAGGCTTCATTTGGGACGGCTTTCTTTCTGCTTTATAAAGCAACTTTCTAGTACAAAAATTTTATAAAGCGGAAATAAAGCCGTCCCAAACAAAGCCTAAATCCATGATTATACTGGCAGCCGTTATCCAATTCATTAAAGTAGTCATTTTTGCAAGTTGACTTCGATAGATATCTCAAACCTGGTATAAACCGTGCTTATACCTTACACAAATATGGACATACAAGAAAGAAATGACATGCACCTTCTAGAGAATATCTATGATAAAAAATAGGCATGTCCTGAATTTGGTCGTTCAACAAGATAAGATGCTCACCTGAAAATTGCTTGGACATCACTCTCAAGTAATGTTTGAGAAAGGATACGATGAAGGTAAGTCACTTCCTGAGAAAAATAAATGAAGTGAATTCGAGATCAAATGACGTCACAACATTTTAGGAGGCAAGAGCAGTTTTCACTTGAAAAGTGGCCATTAACTAGTAACTTAACAATTAGCAAAATAAAAAAAAAATAATGGTCAACCTTGGTGACTGCTTTAGCAAACTGACTGGGTTGTGGATCATTATCCTCTGGAGCATTCCAGTTCTCAACAATTTGTGGCAGCTTCCTAAGATTTATCAATAATCTTTCCCGCATTATCTGAACCAATTTTGAATGAATCTCATCACGATGAACTTTGTAGTCCTGCATATTCAAGGAAAGATTAGCAGAAAGTCTTCAAAATATTTGAAAATTTCAAATTTGACAAGGCAAGAAAAAAAAAAAACCGTGCACACTGATGAATCCAGACGCAACCATACATCTTCAATGAAACGTGCACAATAAGGAATCAAATAAATTTAATATTAATATAAGCAAGTTGAGTTCTGATATGCGTGTCAAAGCGCAAACTTTTGAACAAATGTAAGATTGACCTGAGCTCAAAGAGCAAAAAATCAAGCAACCGTTAATTCAGCGGTTCCTTAATCTCACATTAAGAATACCAAAAAGATGCAAACCAAAATTAAACTTTTTTTTTTTCAAGAAAGAGAGGAAAGGAGCCAGTTGGCACAGCTAATCTGTATACATCAAAGAAGTACCTAGCACAATTAAACTAATCAATTTGGTAAAATCATGCTGCATATGAACACATAACAGAGTGCTGTACATTATAAATTTGATAAGTCAGCATATTTCCACTGCATAAACAAAAGTCCCTACTTTCCTGTGTACGAGTCAAAATGAAGAAAAGGTATTTGGCTACTCGTAAGAGAAAGGATAGATAAAGCTGGATGTGGCAGTAAAAATACAAAGTATATTTATAAATGAATGTGATGTAGGACTTGAATGTGAAGTAGGACTTAAATGCTTAGGCAATGTTAAATAAGAAGTTGCACACTTTTATTTGAGAGCAATATTAATTATTAAACTTGTAGTAATTTTAAATAATGAAAGAAAACAAGAGAGGGGTGAAACTAGCTTAGGCCAAGGCACAAAACTAAAAGTTAAGATCACAAAATAATCAATTATTCAAGCATAGCATATATGAATGATTTTCAACAAGAAATCCTTAAATTAACAATAAGATTAGTCACTACGAAAGAGATCCCTCACTCAACTCTTAATAAATTTGGCTTGAGGAGAAAGTCTTCCTGACCATTATGATGCCACAATCAAGGGTGAGTAAGTATGTAGAAGGTAAGGGGAAGAGTTTACCCAAAGAAAGAAGATACGAAGCTTTGGTGTGGACGACCTGGGGTGCTAATGAAAAGAAGGCAGCAACACGAACATTTTCTCCAGTCTTGAATAGCAACTTAGCACCTTTAAGATGTCTGGACAGCACTTAGACAGGTTCTGGATGGATGGACAGCAAACTGACTTCGTCTAGAGATTGGGACAACAAGCCAAAACACTGAAAATTCTGGACAGCAGCTTTCAAACATCCAAGAAATCTGGACAGCAGTTTAGGGATGTCAAATCCTTGAAGTAGAAGCTATTTGGGGAAAAGAACATCAAGTCGTCTTGTAGAAGCAAAGGACAGCAATTAGCAATATAGAGAGATGGTCATTTTAGGGTTTGAGCCGCCCATGGGGTAGGGGAAATTGTTATCTATTTAGAGGGATTGAAAGTTTGGAGTTTGAAATTTAAATAACAAGAAAGAAAGGAATTAATGTTGGAGAGAGAGAGAGAGATGGAGGGGGGCCGGCGGCATGCTCAGGTGCAAGTGGGGTTGGGGTGGGGATTTAAAGCTTGCCTTATTTAGAACCTCTAATGAGGAGAGATTGACTCAAATCAAATCCTATTTAAAATTCAAATAGGTTTGATTTAAGTAACTTTTCTAAAATAAAACAAGGTAGATTAGGAAAGAAATTTCAAATTTCAAATGAAAGAAATCAGATTTTAATTCTTTCTTATTATGATTTGCATTCAATAAGGAAAGCACTAAAGAGTAATTCGTAATTTGGAGGCAAAGGGAGAGGGATTGATTGGGGCCGGCGACTTAGGAGTAGGTTTACGGGTAGCCGGCGGCTAGGACTACGGTTTGGGTTTGGGTGGTGGTTAGGAGTAGGGTTAGGGTTTGATTAGTGGCTAGGTTTAAGGTAGAGCTTGGGGCCTGGCGACTAGGTGGAGTGAAGAGAGGAGGTGGTCGGCGGCTTTGGAAAGGTTGAGGGAGAATCGGCTGGCGGCTATGGAGGGGAAGGAGATCTTAGGGATTAGGGAGAAGAGAGGAACCACGAACCCGGACGCTTCCTACGGTTGGTGGGTGATGCATTGCCCTCACCAAGGGACTTCAAGCTCTCCAAGAATTCTCACAATAATTCTCAAGCGCTCCAAAATACAAAGTGCAAAAATTTCTTAATAATATTCATCATCCCCTCAAATGAGGCTTTAAATAGCCAATACAATGGAGAAAATACAAAAGACCAACTTGCCCCTAGGGCATACACATGACTAGGCCCTCGAGTGAGGGTATAAAAGAAAAGGTAAATAAAACTCATGAACATAATAAACTAATACATTAATAATAAATCTAATACAATGATAATCAAAAGTAGAGCGGTACATCGTGGCCATAGATCGACGACCACGTCTCTAGTAGACTCCAAGGTCGAATGTCCTCATCAAAATGTATACAACATTATATCTATAAATATATTCAAATATGCATGAACATCTGCCTACATCGTAGGCAAGCAGGAAACATAAAATAGCTTGAAAAAATGTAAATGCAACAATCCTAAACATGTCTAAACCAGGAATAAGAAATATGGCTCATAATAACATAATTAGAATATTTTTTAAATTGAATCTAGCCTTACCCGATGCATATAGGAACACTCAAAAAGCAGCATCCGATCTCATTATCAAACTTCTAAATTTGATAAGTTTCTAAATTTAACGAAAAAAAAAAAAAAAAACTTTAATAAGTTTATATTTGGCTTAAGACCTAAACTTATTAGAGAGATGACACCACACAGTTAATTCACTTGAGGCATTTCATCTTGCTTTGAATTAATGATAGCTACAAAATTTCTTCATATGCTATAAATATCTCCTTTCACCAAAGTGTAGACATGTTTTTCGCATCGACTCAATCACGACAGAGCCTATTCGAGCCCGACTGGGCTCGATCGCACTCAATCAACTCCATCGAGAGACGTCGAACTAAAATTGACCCAAATCGAGCCCCAATTTAACTAAATTAAGCCCAAATTCATCAAATTAAAATCAAATTGGTCCAAATAGAACTCAATGGAGCCTCGTCGAACAAAATCAATGCAATTCGGCATTGATTCAAGTTTAATTTCGTGGAACTGACTTGATCGGACACAATCAAACCTGAATCGACCCAATTCGGGTTCGATTCGGGCTTAATTCTAGCCCAATGGACCCAATTTGAGTTCAATTTAACCCCAAACATGTTAAATTAACTTCTTGGCCTTTTGCAATCATTTTCCCATATCAGAAAACTAAATAAAACGGTTGGAATCAAAAAGCTGCTGGTTACATGTCACTTCCCTCAGATTTGCACAGCTACAACAGGGATATCGTGAAGTCTGTGCATGTGTGCTGGAGTCAAAACCAAGCGACTGAAGGTTCCTATGCATGCGAATCCAAGCAAAGCCAAGAGGAGCCCCGACCATTCTTCCTGCGTGCGATCTCTGGAGCCGAAGTTAACTGAAGAACAAATTGGGTTATCTATCCTGCTGTTCTCTTCCTCATGAACCAAAGCGAGGATTTCTTCTGTCCCATTTTTACATTTTAGAGGCTCATAAAGGTCCATTTATGGGCCATGGGCAATAAAGGTCTCTATAAAATCCTAACAAAATCATAGAATGCTCAATTATATATGAACCTGACTATGTTAGGCTCTTTAATCATTGTTGTAGCTCACCATATGTATTCCACGCACCCGTATGCATACCTAGCTATTGACTATGATACACAACTTCTGTTGTTCACACATCACATGTGGATCGGGGGATTTATTATAATTGGCGGTGCTTGTCCGATAAATATTTATCATAAGCATGTTCCAAAAATAAAATTTTAGAATTAAAAAATAAAATCACTATTAAATAAAGAAATTAAATAAAACATTAAAACTTGCTCAGATCATTGCTTAATTAGACATTCAGACAACCAGTAAACTGTATAGTGGTTCTAAAAAACAGAGGACACCATTAAAAAAATAATAATTCATTGCAATTTAAAATAAAAAATCCCATGTCGCATCATATTTATCACATAAATTAATTTGAAGCATTATGCCATATCAGTGAGCAGAATATATGCTATAGAAAAATGAAATAGGTTATGTTCACATGGTAATGACGACTTGTACAAAACATTGCTCCTTTGTAACATGAATGCTTAATAAGACAATAATTAGAATGACATGGTATTCTCGCAACCATTCATTTTTCCCAAAAATTAGGGAGAAATGCTTAGAATAAAGTAATAGTAATTTTCAAAAATAAAAAAAGGTGCCATGTAGAAAATTTACAAGCCAGGTGATAAGAACAGATATCAGAGCATGCCATACCTGGGCCACTCTTTCAATCTCTAAAAGCAACAACCCTTTACGGCTCTCAGGTACTTTCAGAAAGAGAACTCTCCGGATTTCTATATATACACAGCGAGTTATATAAAACTTAGTCAACTTTCTAGCATTGAAATCAGATCAAAATACAAAACAAGATAATGTGAATATTATCATCAACTAAGCGTGTCTGAAAAAACCAACTGAAAAAATATCAAGAAGGCCTATATTTAAGCAAAATATAGCAATTGTCTTTAAAAAAAATTGTATAACAACAATTTTGCAAAAACTTGAAAATGCATTCCTTAAAATCAGGTAATTTTGAAGAAAGGACGTGCTTTATGCATAATGCATTTGATATTCTTAATCAAATATAGCATAAATCTTGATGTAATATGACCATACTTGATCAAAATCACCATTTAAGATAGGATCTCACACAAAATGTTCTTTGATATAATTTGCATCTGATAATCAACTCTTCATGCTTGTTTGGCATCTCATTAATTGTAGAAAATGAAAAGCTTACAAATCCTTTTTTTTAAGTCAATATACAATATACAATGGTCCATTTTAGTTGGTTAGAGCATCTGTCTCATGACTCGAAGGAGGACAGTTCAGAGCTCCACCATGACATAAATGTAAGTTTTAGTTTTAAGGCTAACCACAAATAAGTGGGACAATGCAAACATGATAATGACTTCAATATATGGTCTTATTTTGCTTGTGCACAATATTGCACATGTTCGAGCAATATTACTTATGGGCTCCAAAAATTTGACTTATGGGTCCCCGGCCTCTCCACGTATATTTTTTGAACCTTGCCCACTTTATTTGCTCGCTAACAGAGTATGGAGTTAAATTACCACTTTTGTGAGCTATAATACGACATTGATGCCGAGAGCTTATATTTTTACAATGAATTTTATTTAAATAAGCCTTGAAGGCTTAATGTAAACTTTTAAAATAATATCTCTGGTGAATTTTAAACTCGCATATTCAAAAGAAATCCGTGGGTTCCAAAATTTTAATTTTCGGGTCCCGAGCCCCTCTCCGCATATATTTGGGGAGAGTTTTATCGGATTACGTTCAAAAGGATATTTTCAGAATGCAAATTTGTTAGAAATAAGACAATGCCTAGAGATTTCTCCCTCATTAATAAGGATTTAAAAATCGAGTTTTGTTTTCCTATAGACGCAAACCCTTATGGTTAATTATCATTTCCAATGACAGGAGAGCACTTTCAATTAAAACTAGTTGTTATATAGGCAATGAGTACCTGGTGTATAGTAGCAGTATATTTAGAATTAGATATAATATTTAATATTTAATATTAGAAATTCACTACCTTGTACTTAAAGAGGATGGTGTGGGGAATGAAGATGAACCCGATCAGAATCATATGGTTCTGTCATCCCGAGTCATCATGAGTCCTAGTCTACTTAGTCAAAGGAAATAGTTAACTTAAATCGAAAGGTCCTCGTTATCATCCATGGGTTAATTCATACAAGAGTACCTTATAGACTTCGGATGGATGGTTTCCTAAGAGAAGGATTCAAGTCAACCTTAACTTATAGAGGGCTTTGTGCCCTAACAAATCTATCTTATGAATTGTTACCCAAAAGAAGAAAGCTATTGGGGAACATATGGGGCTAAGGCCTTGACCATAATATATTGGAGCAATTTTGGCAGATATTTAAGAATTGACTCCTCCACTTGAGATTTAATTTCAACACGATCATCATCAGGTTACGTTAAAGTAATTTTAAAAGATTTGTACCTTATTGGAATTTTGGAGTGATTTAAAAAAAAAAAAAATAGAGTTCCCTTATGGTTGATATTCATTTTCAATATGGTCATCATCGAGGTTTTAAATAATTCATATTTTTTATTATCTAAGCCTTGTCAATTTGCCCATTTATTGGCAAAGGATCAGGTTTGATCTGAATATATGTAGCATTTTTTAAGCTAAAGCCCCCTCGATTGAGATTCACTTCCAACATGGTCATCATTAGTTTATGTTTTTAGTTGTTTGAACCTTGTTGACTCTGTTGATTTGCTAATGAGTGATCGAGTTAGATTTGAATTTATTTGGCATTTTGATTATAGAGTCATCTCTGGTTGATATTCACTTTAAACAAGTTCTTCATTAGGGATGACATTAAAGTTACTTTTAAAGTGTTTTTTTAGGAGTTCAAAGGCATTCAAAGCATAGAATCCCCTTCGATTGAGATTAACTTTTAATACAGTCATCATCAGGAAACAAAATACTTAGTGTCTTTGATGGTGTTAACCTTGTCGACTCTGTTTGCCCCCTAACAGAGAATTGATTTCAATTATCGATTTTGTGAGTCTTTATACAAATGTTGAAGACAAGAGCTTGTATTATTGTTGTCAGATCCCAAGTCCTGGATAAGAAAAGTGGAGGGTTATGCTATGTAGTCAACAATTAGCATAAAACTTGTCGAATAATCATGACATGAATATTTTAATACAATGAAAAGTATGTAAGAGTTATTGCACCGACACCCGAGTGCAGTGTTAAATAGGCTAGTGTTCCCACATCATGAACGAATGTGAGCAAAGAAGCTAGTCCATAAAATTAAAATTATGATAGAAACTTAGAATATAGATTCCCTTACTGGAAAATTAATGGAATTAATATATATTTTGATTTATAGGAAGATAAATATTCTACGCATTCAAAAAACTAATGAATTGGAAAGAATGTTAAGGGAATTAATAATTTAGGATTTAATCTATGGTATTCTGTTAGGAGTCGTACTAGAAATTGTATATGTGTGATTATTGATAAGAGTTTGAATGATAATGTTGTAAAAATTAATAAAATTAGAGATAAAATTATAGCTTAAAGATTATTTTTAATTCTAAGATTATTAATATTATAAGTGTTTATGCTCCTCAAATAGGTTTGGATATGCGTTCTAAATTAAAATTTTAGAATAACTTAAAAGAATTAATACAAAAGATACCTCTTCATAAAAGACTTTTTATTGGAGGAGATTTAAATGAACATGTTGGTAGAGAGGTAAATAATTATAAAAGCATACATGGTGGCTATGGGTTTAGAGTGACTTATGAAGGTGATAAGATCATATTAAATTTTTAAATAGCTTATGATTTTGTAATTGTTAATACTTTATTTAAGAAAAGAGATGACATCTCATCACTTATAAGAATGGATATAGTAAAATGCGAATTGATTATTTTCTTATAAAAAAAATAAATTGTTTAGATTACAAAGTGATGAAGACATCAGCAGGAGATTCTATCATCGGAAGCAACGCAGAGCGACGGCCTCGATCAGAAGTCTTTATTAGTGTTTCTTTTATTAGTTGTGACGATTGTACCATTTACATGTTTGTGCTTGAGTTGTAGCCCCAAGGGCATTCTTGTCTTTCTTTTCTAGTTGTTTGGAGGCCTATATATAAGGCCCTCATTTTGTATCAGAGATATTGATGATTAAATAAAATTTTTTGATTTCTCTCTAGAGCTTATGAGTTCTTGACTGGTGAAGTCCCTAGGTGTGGGCAAAGAAACACCCACCAGTCACCGAAAGTGTTCGGGGCATGTGGTCCGACTCCGCCTCCCCTCACTCCACCGCCGGCCTCCCTAAACCCCTCCACCCGCCGGCCACTCTCTTCCCCCTCTTCCCCAAAACTGCCAGATAGACACCACCACTAACCATCATCCCCACACCCACTTGACCGAACCCCCTTCCACTAGCCACCATCGGCCACCCCTTGCCTCCTCCTCTCAAGGTGATTTCAATCCAAATTAAACCCTTCCTAATATAACCCACATAATCTAGGAAAGATTTCATCCTTTTTTTTTAAATTCAAATTTGAATTTCAAAACTTTTCTAAATTAACCAGGTTAAATTAGAAAAGTTTTCACCTTGAATCTAATTTAATTTTAAATTAGATTGGACCTCATTATTTCCTTCCTAATTTAGTTTCATGAATTAGGAATCTTTATTAACTCCCACAAATCTCTCCCATCCCCATGCATGCCGCCGGCCCCTCCATGGAATTTCCCTCCTCTCCTCTTTAATCTCCCTCCACTTGAATTTGATTTTCAAATTTCAAATTCTTAAATCCCTTTTGCTATTTTACTAAAATCTGAAACCAATTTCAAATTTTATATTACTTTCCCTCTCCAAACCCTAACCCTAATTCCACAAAAGCAAGCCCCTCTTCCCTTAGTCGCCCCTCCTTCCTTCCTACCTCTTGGAAACCTTGTTGCCTCATAAACTACACTCCAAGAAAGAAGAAGGCCTTCCTCTATCCACAATCCCCTTTACTAGTGCATGGCCGATCTAGGTCGTGATAGTGGATTCCTCTACAACAATCAAGGTTTACTGGATATTCATCAACCCACCTTCTTCGACCACAAACTATAAGTGGATAACTCCGTCGAAGATTACATCAATCGCATCTTATTCATGTTGGCAACATCAATTGAAGATAATCTACCGTCTGGAAGTTGGTGGATCATTTGGTACCCACACACTTCTTCTCCCTCTATGGCAAAATTTCATTGGGCTACTACCATAGGTGCCTTCTCAACTTTGGTGGCATCGTTCAGCTTGCTAAGATTCTTTTTCGCTAATCCTTACAAGACGAGCTTGAGTGAGGGAAACTCAAGGTGACTTTTCAATTTGTTACGTGTCGGATCTCTTGTTTACAATATTTAAGTTTATCTTTATGATTGAGATCATTTTCAATTGATTGTTATTCTATCTTGTAATCGATTGCATTTGCATTATTGATAGCCTTAAGTTTAAGCATCTAATCTTATGAAACATTAGTTTATATTGCAAAGCTTAAATCAATTTTTTTATAATCTCTAATGCAATCCCTACTGGTTTCACATCACAAAGTTTGTAAAGTTATTCCGAGTGAAAATTTATAAATCAAACATCACTTATTAAGTTTGAATTTTAAGATAAAGGGGATGAATATAAAAAATAAAGTAAAACATTATTCTAGAATTAGATGGGATCATTTAAAAAATATTAAAAAAAAATTAGAGTAAAATTTTAGATCTAAAGATTTTGATG